TAGTCGGGGCGGGGGCGGGGGGGCTACAAGGTTGGGTTTGGATTTTACTTTTATCATCTCTGTAATCTGATGATCACCATATTGTTTTCAAGATACTTTCAGATCAACCACTTTGTTACCTGCCCGATAAGTTTTCTAGATATTCATATCAGACTGAGACTATATATTGATTATTTTAATTTTGAGACTACCCAACTTTTGAGACTAAAGAGCTTACAGTAAAAAAAAGAAAAGAAAGGAACAAGATATATAGAAAAATAGTTGGCCAGAAGATAAGTTCAATAACAATTAAAACAAAAACAAAAACAAAAACCTTATAGGGACTCCATAGTCTGCCTATCACAAGAACAACCAATTTTGAAATGATTTTCTGTATCTCATTCGGGTGGGAGCCATATGGATCTTTGGGAGGGATGGCATCACAATAGAAGAGACTGACCTCCTGGGTCTGTTTAATCAACAGGACCCAGAGTGTATCTACTGTGCCTGATCATAACAGGTAGGCAGAAACAATTGGAGAGAGCTAGTCCCTCAGAGAGCAGGCCCTGTAGCCGAGAAGGGCTTTATAAGTGATAACCAACACTTTCAAGAGCACCCTGGAGCCAGCTGGAAACCAGTGTAGTTCACTGAGCAATGTTAGCAACTGAGCATACAATGACATGCCGAAGACTGCCCAGGCAGTGCGACTGTAGACCACCTGTAGCTTACACAAGATGTTCAATGGCAGCCCCATGTAGAGCATATTACAGCAATCTAATTAAAATATATGAGTGACTATCTGAAGGGCCTCCCAGTCTAGGAATGGCACACTAATTAACCTGTGCAACCATAGCTGTCAACTGCTCTTCAAGCAGCACCTGTTAGTTGAAAATGATGTTCAGACAGTGCTCAAGTCTCACATGGGAAAGTGCAACTCAGTTGAAGACTAAAGATAGAACATCCCCAGAGCTAGGAGGTACTAAATAAACACAACAACTTGGTCTTGTCAGGATTGAGCTTGAGTTTGTTCCTCCCCATCCAGACCCACACAACCACCAGACACTGGGCCAGGACATTAACAGCATTGTTGGGTCAGCCTGATATTGAGATGTGGAGTCAACCACAAACCAATGGATGAGCACTGGGTCCATGTAGATGTTAAACAAAAGGCATAACAGCATTGAGCCCTGAGGAACCCCACAAGTGAGGGACTGTGAGCACTCTGCAAGTGAGAGATCATGGCCATCATGCCATTAACGATTGAAATTGACCACAGAGAAAGAAAAAGACCCACTGGAAAATGATATCTCTGATACCCAGCCCCAAAGTCAGTCCAAAAGGATACCATGGTTGATCAAGAGATATTCCTAGGTCCGTCCTTCCGTCCTTCCTTCCTTTCTTCCTTCCTTCCTTCCTTCCTTCCTTCCTTCCTTCCTTCCTTCCTTCCTTCCTT